GGGGGGGGGGGGGGGAGGGGGGCACGAATATGAATTAAATTGGCTGGCTTACGGAAAATATAAAACAGGGAAGAGAAAAGTTTTAACCGTGCTATGTAGGGTACAAGGATTGGAACATATAGATTTGACTAATTATACTCTTTGAACTGTTGGGGGACGGGTAGAAAAGGAATCGACTCTAAAGACTAGGGGGGTGCGTGTGTCCGATACGCACCCCTTACTCTTATCCCCACCCCCACTCCCCAAGACTACCCATTGTACGCGTGTGACTGTCATTTTTTCTGGTAGTGAGGATGTAGGATAATTCTCTGACGCCGTTCTGTCCTTAAGTCCTTTCTTTGAATATCCATTTACCCCATTTACCTCTCACAATTTCCTTCTCATAATTTTGCATCTAGACAATGACGGCAGTTTATTTGGTTTAAAATTTGGAAGATATTGGAAAAGAAGTTATAGCCCGGTTTTTAGGTGTCAAATAACGCCTTCCATTCTCACGTACGTAATATTCTATTACGGCATTGCATTATATATGCCTCACTCAAGTGACCTCGAGTGACCTTAATCTTTCAATAAATCTTATTGAACTTCACGTCCCATGCCATGCACTTATACAATATAAGTTAAACAAAACATCAGGGACTATATTTTTTTTTCACATTTTTACTTTAATTTTCAATGCTTCTTTAAGGAATCAGCAGGGTGTGTTGGGTGTACGATACGTGACTGCACCACTGCTGCCACCTGACTCCACAGAATCTCCTAAAATCCCATATCAGTCCCTAGTTACAGGAAATATTAACGCCAATATTTTATTTTTCGTATGGACTTCATTAATTCACAAAATGGTAGACACATAATTGAAGAAATAAATACTCTTTTTAATCATCTTAACAGGTTTTTCCATTATGACATGTTCTTACCCTGCCTGTAGCTAGGCCGAATACAAAATCGGGTTGTTTAAATCCACTGTTGCGCAAAATTTGCATTAACAAGAATCACAATTCATTTGATTCAATATTTTATTCGCCTGACCTCGTCGGGTTCACAGCAAACATGTTAACCTGCTGAACACAAAAGACCTAAAGAATTTAACCTTATAAAGGACAAGAATCGATGTCCGGCAGCTGGTAGCCATAGCATGACTTATTGTACATGTAGCAAAACTGGATAATAAGCATTTTTTTACGGCTGGTCGCATCTCTTCAGTTGGAGTGCGTAACCAAAACTAATAACACTTAGACTAACTATGATCCATAGCGACACGATACGGGAACGAGTGCCTTAAAACTGTTTTCACTTGTTCCAAAGCACAGACTCGGGAAACATGGAGAGGACAAAATTACAAGTAATTTGTGTGGTTTTGGTGGCCACATTTTCTCTGAGTAAGTACATTCTTATAGCTCTGATCTGTTGTTTATGTGGGGCCTTTCAACTTCCTTAACGTCTTCAAATAAAACTGATGAGGTTAAATCGTGAGGAATAAGTGCATTAAACGATAAATAAAAGTATAAAAATTTTTCATTACAAGAGAAGCCCCGATAAAAAGCCATAATTACACTGCAATATTTGGCATTCTTTCAAGATCGATTTTATATTTGTTGTATAAAAATATATAGCCATGTTACAACCCACTTTGAAAAAATTACGCAATTTGAAAAAATTTTTCAAATCGCGTCAAAAATGGGACAAAGTGAACGCGATTTGAAAAAATATTTCAAATTGCGTTAAGAACATACATTTATGAATTATTTCATTTTGCTTGAGGTTATGAATTCAGTTGACATGCTTATTATCAATTTATTTTCTTGAAAGAATCTGTCGATTGCAAAAGGCAAGAAGAAATTTCGGAAAATGCAAAGGGAAAATGAAACTTGATAGGCCAAAATGAAGTGAAATTATTATAAATTGTATCTTATTTTCAAGAATATTATGGGGAAGACCCCCAGACTGCTCGTTTCTATGAGGAGTTCTATTGTTGTTGATTTTTTTGACAATCGCTTTCATTTTATTCCTGATGTCCCTGGTGTCTGACAGGCAAAAAGCTGACTTGAGGAGGTCAAATTGACTTTGCCCCGCCATCCAAATCAATTGCTGGGCCTAACTAGACAGATGATTGTCCAAAGTATCAATATCAATATATTAAATGACTCAAATTGGACACAGCCAGTGTGACCTCCATCTGTTTATGGCTGCTAATAATGCTCTTTAGGCCCTGTTGTTGATTCTAAAGGCCTACTAAAAGATGGCCTAGGCCTGGGCCCGGTTTATCAAAAAATCTAAGCAAAAAGTTTTTGCTTAGCAAAAAACCTTACTTGCTTATAAAAAGATAAGTAGGCCTACTAATATTTTCAGTATTTATAGGCCTACAACTTCCCAGCAACCTCATTTCTACCAAATAGGCCATTGTATATATAGGCCTATAGAAAGTCAGGTGATTAGGCATAGGCAGATACTCATCTTAACATTTTTCTCAAAATTTTTCAAAGTGTGTTAAAATGTGCCTGTTTGACGCAATTTGAAATATTAGATTTTTCTTTCAAATTGCGTTGAGTCTGTCCACGATTTTAACGCAATTTGAAATATTTTTTCAAATCGCGTTGACTTTGTCCCATTTTTGGCGCGATTTGAAATTTTTTTTCAAATTGCATAATTTTTTCAAAGTGGGTTGTAACATAGCCACCTTTGTAAGAACATGTATGTCGATAACAAATGTTTATAAGTTCAGATCTACTCTTAGGGCCCAACGTGTATTCCACACTGTTGGTAAACTGTGCTAAACTATTTTAGATATCATTAAATTTTATGTTATACTTAATCCTGTTCATCTAATTCTTCTACGTATTTGTAATTTCACGTTATTTGTCGTATTGGTGTAATTTTGTATCATATTTGTACAAACGTCTTAATCAAAGCGTCTTAATTAGATATTTTTTAATTGCCAGTCTGGCTCTAGTATTACCTCCTTTCATCAAGTGTACACCCACTTATAAAACAATGTAAAACAGTAAACCCACCTTAGAAATATCGATTGTTCCGATAAAATTTAATCAGTTGAACTGTTTTCTGTGAGATGTTACTATAGGATCATAAATAGTATTTTTTTTTCTTAAGGTGCAGGGTTGACATGCATATCCTGTTCTTCCACATTCAGCACTAACAGTGCGTGCCAGGAGCAACCCACGGCAAACACAACAACCAACTGCACCACTGGGTTTTGCAAGAAAATTTTTGTCGAAACGGACACCCTCGGAATCAGTAAGTACACGTAACATTTCAGAGTCTATGATATTTTATATTTTCATACACGACGTTATATTTGTATACGACGTGTATAAAAATATAAAATATCATAGACTTGTGCAAACTCATCTTTACTGAATTACATATTATTTTTTAAATTTCAAATTCATTTACACTGTACATACCTACAAGAAGACTTTCGGTCCATTCACTAGAACTTGGTTACGACTTTGTCCGCTAGATTTCACTGCGGAGGCCTGAGGAAATTTTGAGGGCCCATGGACCTGGGAGTCTATAAACTTCTTACATGCACCACATCGACCCACCTTGACGGTTTAATTAACCTGCTAAACATGTGGACCAATGATTTGCATGTAAAGAAGGAAAGGGCTCGTTTCTCGGGCCTTCAAATCCCTCCCCCCACACGCACTGTCCGTAGTGACATTTAGTGGACAATGCCGTGATCACTCGGGGACGCCTTGACTGGCTTTCAGTGTGTTTATACATGCAGTTAAACGATATAAGATATCAGTGTATTTCAACAAAATACTACATGTAACACATTACATACTTTTGAAGTTTGAGTTTAGGAGATAAAGTGCAACCGTTTTTTTTTTTTCTGTATAGAAACCAAATCTTGGACAAGGGAATGTGGATCTTCCGGTGCCTCTGCTGGCTGCACCACAGGCTCTGTCTTAGGTGTTACCACCACCACTTGCCACTGCTCGACTGACAACTGTAACGGAGCCACCAGCACCAGCCCACTAGCCACTGTTCTTCTAGCTGTCAGCGCCTTTGTACCCGTCATTCTTCAGTATGGTCTGCACTAATGTGGCCCAGCTATCGCATGAAATCAATTTGTGATACAAAAAAAGGCATTGAGAGACGAAACCTATATGTGTAACTTAAAATCCTTAAAAAGAAGCACGGGCACTTCGATCAAAACTATGCATCTTCTGCTTTTTTTTTTGTGTGTGTGTGGGGGGGGGGGGGGGTACCCTGCACTAGCTGTCTACCTGTATTATGCATTGTTATGTTACAGATTTGATTATATATTTGTGTGATCGGTGTTAACTTGTGTGTGTTATAATATGTTTAATCAGAAATAATTTTTTTGTTTAGAGGCATATGTTTTAGTCAGAATATGGAAACTAATCAACGAGCTACACTATGCACTGTACAGAAAAATGTTTATTGGTTCAAAAGATCCACCTAATCGATGTGGTTAACAGATGTTGGTATATTATTATTATTATTATTATTATTATTATTAACGAAATGCTCCCCCCCCCCCCTCAGAGTTAACAACCGAGTATCCCTTATTTCACTTGACAAGATGTCGTCATATTTTCGATCTCACATTCTGAAAATTCCAAATCTCGTGTTTGCTTGCTCTGCCTGAAGAGCTGCGCTGAGACTCAGTCCAAGGACATTCCTGGTATCCACAGGATCAATCACACCGTCATCCCACAACCTGAAAGGTTAAAGGTCAAAGGTCAACCCCATCATACTCAACACAGCATGTGTATTACCGCCACAGAGCAGGTCTGCAGCCAGCAATTTCAAAGGGGGTGGGTCTTTCTAAAAAATTAACATTTAACCATGAACACGTCGTGTACCTTTATCAAACTTTACCCAGAGCGGGCCTGTTCTCGGCAAAAAGGTTAGACCCCCCCAACGGCTGCTGGCCTGCAAACTGTACATTACATACATGATTTATATGCATGTGTTCTTTTAATCAAACCAACTTTATAAAATGGTCTGTTTTTTCATTTTCGATAGAGTAACTTTCAATTCAAAGCACGGCAGTATGCATAACTTTAAATACTTTACACTTGTACTGTTTTCTCCTAATTATATTTTTAAAATGTGATAATCTACTACAACAAATGCAGTTTGCTCTCCCTATTTTGTGAATCTCATGATCATAAAATCTCTCTTTTTCGCACCTTGTCGTATATTATTAATAGCTTTAAAAATTGAACAGTTTCCAGTGGCGGATCCAGAGCTATTTTCTGACAGTCTTCCAAAATATCTTTGTTGATCCATCCTCCAATTTTAACCGTCTTCCAACAGAAAAAATTAGATACCTGTCAATGTAAACTTGAAAATCTTACCGTCTTCTGGAAAACCCAGAAGACGGTCTAAATTCGCCCCTGGTTTCTAACAAAAACTTGACTCTTGCTTTGGCCGGGGTTACAGTTTACCCAGAGACGGCCTACCTGGAGCTGGCGTAATATGGACTGCCTTCAACTTCATATTTCTTTAAAATCGGATCTTTGATAGCTTGTTCCTCCTCCAGTGTCAGCTGTATAAGGAAAATACCACAGTTTAATGATTTCACTTTGCCTGTTGTGAGAAAATCAGAAAATAATCGATTCTTATTCTTGTTATGGCTTGTGAAAGGTCGACGCCTGGTGAACACGTTTCAGATACCAGCGGCCCAGTAATTGCAGGTTATTGGTTTAACGCTATGGACATACCCGAGTTCACATGTTTGATCATACTTTTATTATACTAATATCTGAACATGGCAGAAACATGTTACAAGCAAAATCAGTTAAAGGGGTCGCTGTCTCCATCATAACATGCACGTACCTCTTCCCCGCGTCTTAATTTCTGCTCCTTTGCTATCTGTGCTAAAACGCTGGCAGCCTGTTCTCCACCCATGGCGGACAATCTCGAATTGGGCCACGCGTAAACAAATCTGGGTCTAAAAATTAAAAATAAATATTACGGGAGTCATACAAGCATACAAAAGCTAAATTGGCACCCGTATAAATTATTTTCAAAGCGTTAAAAGACGGCTGTGAAATGTTACGTTAGTAATGATATAAGGTAGATAGGTTTTGTTTTGATCAAAGATAATTATTGGGGAATAAATCTGCCATCTTAATGCAAAATTACTAAAATGAGTTTGAGAAACATTGCTATAACATGACAGGAGGTATGAGACAGACTTTATCCTCACCCATACGCTCTTCCACACATAGCGTAATTGCCAGCACCATAAGCGCCCCCTATAATTACAGACAATTTTGGCACGCTTGCAAACGCCACGGCTGTCAGCATTTTGGCGCCATGTTTTGAAATCCCTGAGATTAAGAGAAAGTTAATTTATTCAGCTTATATATAACACATACATTAAATATTGTTGTCATGAGGTAAAAAGATAGACATATGTTAAAGAAATAAATACAATAAACAATTAAAAACACTACAATATTGACATTAAATTGGGTCGTCATCTACCTTGTGCTTCTGCTTCCTGGCCAACCATAAAACCTGCAATCAAAACGCAAGGAAAAACATAAAAAAACATCAGACATAACATAAAAGTTTATATTATCCATTATATAAAAGTTTTAAGCAGGATGTACATTCAAATCATGAAAGCCATAAAAGGTATTGACATTAACTTTTTGTAAAGTTTGACAAAGAGATGAGCCACGATATGTACCCTTTTTTGGTTAACAATACCAATATCAAATACACATTATTAATCAAAAACAAATACACGTGGCATTAGAAGGAGGCCCATGGTAAGCAAGGATGGTGGATGATGCAAATAAAAAAGGCAGGTCATGCTATAATTTACTATGGTATCATTTAATTTGAACTGCTGAGTAAAGGGGGACATAGTTTGAACCGGAGTATGTCCTACCTGTAATGTTTTGAAGAAACGTCAACGGAATCCTTCTCTGACAACATAGCTGTATAAAATGAGCTCCCTTACAGAGAATGGAAAAATATTAATTCATATAATGTCCGAAATCAAAATTATATGTCCACTATTTCATTGAATCTGCTTACAAAAGGCAAGGTTTTGTCACATTTTTAAGTAGTCACTCTTTTCAGACACTCTGAGACTGAGACTGTCTTCAAACGGAATAAAAATCATTGTGTAATGCCATAATCTAATTAAATTATATTACCTTGAGGGCAGATTCCGAGAAAAGCACCCCGTTGTTTCCAAGAATACCCACGGGAAATCCCCAGAGTCTAGCAAACCCACACACAAGAGTGTCGCCGTACATTGCTTTGAATTCATCAAATCTGCTTCCATCCACTATCCTAGCTATCACCTGTAAAGGGGAATCATAGCATCAAGAAAATCAACCTACCAGACATATCTAAATGCTTCATGGATCAAAAAGGTCGAATAATAATAATAATAATAATTATAACAACAATAATAATAATAGCTTTTATTTATTCAAAAAGGGCAAAACGTTAAATAAATTTCATATCCAACGAGGGTTTATACACGTCCGCGTATAGTGGACTTTTTAAAATAAAAATCAAACGCAGCGCCTGTTTGTCAGCCCGAAAAATAAAAACAAATAAAAATCAATAAAACGTCTACGTCGCAGAGTTAATCAATTTATTACATTTTTCTCAAAATTAAATAGGCGTGTTTTTTTAATACGTACTTCTCTCGCGTCATACATCTTCTTGTTGTCCGCTTCAACTATGCCATACAGTTCTTGCGCAGAATGCAGTGGTGGCTCCGGTTTTGTCAGCGCGACCTATAATATTGTGCTAGATGTGACTGGATTGTTTGTACATTCTATACATGAGAATATGCCAAAATACATGTATAAAGATACTGGTGGATATTATATACAAGTACATGTACCTTATAGAAGTAAATATATGTAATAGTCAGTAATACAAGGCAGTATGTTTTAGAGATATTTGTAAATTGACGTTGCAGGTACCCCGTACTTACCCTTCTCCCCTCCCAAAAAAGTATACCGAGCAAAGTACGTGTAGGAGAAAACCAACCAATTTCCCTTCCCTTTACCCTTTTTTTTTTATCAAGGGCGGAACCAGGATTATTTGAAAAGGGTGGTCCAGTGGGGGTTAAGGGGGTAAGGGGGTCCTGAATTGCAAATGGCACCAGCTTTATGGCGACGCGCGCTCGGCGGCATAGCAAACAACATCATGGACGTAGAACTGGACCAGATGGCTCATTGAGATTAAGTGGTGTTCTAACGAAACTTTCTATACAATCTATACATTTATTGGTAAAGTATGCCTAACATGACAAAAACCAAACGCAACAATTGATTGACAACATCAGAGTTTGTTAATTTCTGGGAGCAGCAGATTCGAGAGGTCACTGGTAAGACGCTTTTTTTTTTTTTTCAGAACACCAAGGGCCGGGGGCAGGCCCCCTTGACCCCCCTATATCTGCCACTGTTTATTATAGAAAAGCTTACTTCTTCTACCATTTATTCATTTTGTGAATTATCTAATCACTTTGCCTCCTCCCCCTTACCAAGCAATGGACTCTCCAGTGCCCAGCTTTGATAAAAAATAGATCTAACCTGAGGATTTGTCGTGAAATTGAGGTTTCGTATAATCCTCCGAACCCTATGAAGTGCATGTAGATCATCTTCTGCAAAATAGTCAGCTACGCCTGAGTATCTGGAAATATTTAATCGCAGATGATATATAATGAAAATGTGGGCGTGTCTGCACTGGGTCATGTGCTATGTCATTTGAGCATGCCGATCGCCAAATGCATTTTATACGGCAATCCTCGTACTAATGTACTCGTACTATATTGAAAAGCGCACGCGAACGTGTGTAGGTAGTGGGTGGATGGGTGAGGGGGGGGGGGGGCGATGTGGTTATTTTTAAAAAGATATTCAGAATACTAATGAACCTAAAAACATACCGACACATGATCTCCGCCCCTCCTAGATCTTCAGCTGAGACTTTCTCACCAATGACGGATTCCACCTAAAATTACCGTATGTAAAACCCACCGTTACGTTGTAGACTATGCCATTCTACGGGGTTTTGTGATCATTCACGCTTCCAAATAATAATATGTCACATTTCTAAGTAAAACACATTCTAACAAACTGTAATTTAACAAGACACGTTATTATGAATCTTTGTAAAGATTAGCATGCTTAAGGATAATGTAACCCTTAATTATCATCCAGATACTGAAAATTAGTTTTTTCCTGCATCTAATTATTCAATTATGCATCTATCTTTGTGCTGATTGAAAACAATGGAAAACCCTCAAAAATATAAAATATCGGCGTTTATGTTTATTTGTTGAAATGTACATGTATAAGCATAGGCAACTCAAAGCTTTAATCCTCAATTTAACATCTTTCTATTTTGAGGTGAGATAGCAATCGGTATGGGGCGTAACTTTATCCCTGAATAAGATTTTATCACGAAAATTGGCAGAGTTAACCAAGAGTGTATAGGCTACAATCCCGTGCCGTCATTTTGGTTTAAGTATTTTTTTTTCTTGTTATGGAGTTATGAGCTCCTGATTACAGATTTTCATTAAAGGGATAACAACCGTTCGTATGATACCCATATTTCACAATAAATACATTTTAAACAACTCACAGAAATATAATAAATTCTATTTTACCACCAAAACGGCGGTTAAAGCAATTGTCTGGAACTTTTGCTTGACATCACATCACGTGACTTCCATAGATGGCTACACTCTGTTATAATCTCTTAAGAGGATTAAAAAAACGAAACTTTTTAGAAAAAAAAAACAGAGACTAACTTTGAATGTTGTAAGTATTGGAAAATTATCCTTTACCCCAGGAAAATCCATTTTTAGCCAAAATGAACAGTTGTTATCCCTTTAAACAACGGCATTGCATTGGTTTATCAACGTTAAAATCTGAACTAAGACTTTTATGAAAAATCACTGGCACGGTTTTGGAGTACTAAATGGTGTCATCAAATCGGCGTTGAAAAGGTGATCGTGGATTCTCAGGTAAAGGAGAAATTTGAGAAACCGATTTTTCACTTTTTACCCCAAAATCCCAATTCTGATGCCACCCGTAAGATGACATATGTGTAAATGTTAATTAATTTAGTCAATGAACACTGAAGATTTATTTATTACCCACAAGAATGTATGAAAGGCAGTAAATAAGGAGTTTTGGGTGAAGGGTGACAATATCCTTAACACACTCTTTTGTTACGGTGTTGACGATGCTCAGATGATTTAAGTTACCGAAGTTATTTCGTTTTATACCCCCTTGATGTACATGTACCAGTAAAACGATACTGAAGCATAAATGATAGGTGTTGCACAGACCACGAAAACTCGCACTCTCGACCAGGATGGATGAAAAAAGCAGCTCGTTTTCAGATAACACTCTTACCAAACTTGGACCTGCTAGATATGAAGTTTGTCCTTTGACTACTATATTCTCGTCTGACATTGCCGCCATGATGGAACTGCCGCCAGTGCAATTGCCCATCACCACCGCCACCTATTGAGAGAAGTAGAATGTACATGTGGCAATGAAGGGATATTGAACCCAATGTTACAAAACTGAAGCACTGTTTAAAGGTTAACATCACAGTGCCCGATAAAACAACTTTATCCAGATGAAGCTTAGTCTTACCTGAGTTTACACATGAAACCCAAAATTTACAGAAAGTTTGCAGAAGGTACAAGTAGGTTTTTTATATTTTAGCGAAATCATGGAAGGCTAAAAGTAAAACTGAAATCGATTGTTGATTTTTTTTGTGTTTCTCAATAAATTAAAACATCTTAGTTTAAAGCGAGTATACACATACGTACCTGCGGAATACCTTGGGCAGACATTAATGCTTGGTTGTAGAATATTTTACCGAAGTGCTGGCCGTCTGGATAAACATCTCCCTGGCGTTGTAGATTGATACCACCAGAATGGACTGCGAAAAAAGGCATATTTCATGATACTGGATGTGAATAATTAGATTAAATTGAGAAGTTGGTGCTTTTTTTTTCACAACACATGGAGAAAGAAACACAAACACTGGCCAGTTCTGTGCGAAAAAATATCTTAAAATAAATATGTCGTTACACAATGAGCTTTGAATATTATTTTCAACTATGTAACTGGTTTCATAAGCAGTTCACTTTTTGGCATTTTAGCATTTCCATTTTAAAGAGCAGGAACTTACGTAAGTATACACAAGGTAAGCGGTTCTCTCGTGCTATGTCTTGAGCCCGCAAGAGTTTCTTTACAGTAATGGGATAGAAAGCTCCTGCCTTAACTGTGTAGTCATTGGCGACGACCAAGCATTTCAGTCTTTCACAAATGGAAAAAAAGATTGTGCTGCTCTCTATTTATATTGTAAAAACTATACTGAGTACCCGTGTATCCTTTTTTCAGTAAATCAAGTTATTCAATACCAGTACGCAACATTGAATTTCAACAGCGTGGGTGATATGTGCAAAGATCCAGCAACCGATCTTATAACATACTTACTGTATATAGCACTTACATAAAGTACCCTCACAATTTACTTCTTTATGCCTGTGTTTCCAGTTACTATCATGCTATCGTCTTACCCTGACACGATCCCAATGCCTGTGATTATTCCTCCGGCGGGCAGCTGTTCTGTACCATACAAGTTATAACCAGCAAGTTGCGAAAATTCCAGAAACGGAGACCTTTTGATCAATATGAAAAAATATCATTAGGAAGGACTTACATGTATAACTGAAAATCTGTATTATAATTCAGAATTAATCACCCCTAGATTCAGAGGACACTGGTAACTTAATTTTTAATATCAGCATAATGGCATGCCACTGCCGCAGAGGTAAGTTAGTTATTAATGAAACGAAAGGTGGGAAAGTTTAAGCTGTTTTCAAATACGTTACTAAAATTAATCTGAGATACCAGTAGGTTACTTAAGACTTATTAAGAAATACCTTATATTATTTTTTCTTCTGAAATATGTCATTAATATATTTATATTCATACAAATTTTCTACATGTATTTATTTTCAAGCAATTAATGCTTGAATCATGATATGCATTGCACAACACAAAATAGTCTCATACATTTTAGGACAGCCTTTAAAACATTTAGAAACAAGCGCACGGTACTTCTTTAAATAAATGTCACATATCAGTTGGAGAGAAAATACGAACACATTGATTGCTGAGTGATGTAAAGCTAACTGAAAAGAAGCTGTTATTCAGAAGAAGGGGAAATACTTGCAAGGGCGCATGAATATTTCTATGATTTTTATGCACAAAAAAAGATTGATGTCTCCAATTTTCCAAATGAATGCTAGACAATTTTTTCTCTGTGTGAAAACGCATGTCAGTCCAGTGTTTTAAGACAACAGATTCACAACAATACGATAACTACATTTGGGGCATAAGGCGAGTGCGAAGACCATATTAATCGTCGACTTCCTTTTCACTCTAGTTCAGTTTTATGAACATATTTACCCGGGATCCAGCAACTGATCTATGCGCTCTCTCGGTAGCAAACTGCTGACCCGTGACGTCACGTTTCCACCTGTAATACAGCGAGTACCTGTCAGGTGTAATACTGTTGAGGGAACTAGTTTTGCCGAAGATAATACATGGAATACTCGTAGCCAACGCCATGGATGTTTAAAGATCAAATTTTATAAAAAGTAACTTTAGTGAAAAATAATGTCAAACTTGAACCCCTGTCTTATTATGTGCATTCTCACCTTTGGTGATCTTCCTGACCTCTCTCTTTAACTGTGTAACCAAGGAACTCATGTGTTCGTGATTTTCCTGGAAACCAACACGTGATACCAGTATTTTATTAAAAACTGTATGCTTGTCATGTTAAACCCTATTTTTCATTATAAAACGATTCGATTCTGTCACATGAAATTACATAATTGTGAATTAAGAACATTTACATATAATGCAATAAAGTGAATATCAATAACATGATCGCCAAGTTATTTTCAAGCAACAATTAGGAAAATTTTGTGTCAGTGCAAAAATTTCACTAAGAATGGCACACATTTTATACTGCGCACTTGTAAGTCATGAGAGATAACAGGAGTGAACATATTGTACAGTACGAATCTTGCATGTTAACTCAATAAAAACTCCAATGCGGGTGTTAGTGAATCAAAAGCCATTTCAAAGGCACACGAATTTAACTCCTCATAACTTATATAAATAATTTAAAAAATGACATTTAAAGATGTTATGGACGCATTTTTAAAATTATTTCTTAACCGTCTTCATTCGTTTTTATTCAATAAATATCAATTCAAAATTAATATATACTGATAATACTGAGAATACTTCCACAGAAGAAGGGTGGTGGTCTTATACAAGGCTTGACTTGCCATGCATAATATGACCAGATGGATGCACTCTAACGTATGGGCGAAAACTCATCCACTTTCACACACACACACACACACACACACACACACGCACACACGTATGCATGCACGCGGGCACAGGAGTACAGAAACGACAAGCCCTTCAAAAATAGACATGGCGAGTATATATGTCTCACCTTATATCTGACACACTCAGTGTCAGGCTTGCTGCCTACTGGCTCCATTCTGTCTTCCCAACACTTTGTAAAGCTTTGACCGTACACACGAGACATAGTACTAGTAAGTCTCATTTGGTGGGCCCTTGCCCAAATCCCCCTGCAGCACGCCCTCTTGATGCAAGCCATCAATCTATCGCTTTATATATGGTTTTGATTTCGCGGGCACTCTTGCATATGTAACACCAGCAAAGTGCGTAGTGTTTCGTAGCAAATAATCCAGGGTTCAGACCGAGAGCAAGCGTCTCGATTCCATAACTCGCCCATACTCGTCTCATATAATACAGTGTAGCCTCTATGTGATATCGCTATTCGCAATGCGCGATGCTTTTGAGTTACGGGCCCCTGGTGTCACCTACATGTACCCTCTGATATCAGGGTGCTTCTTAATAGTACACATTCTGAGCTCAGAAAAAAATTACATGTACGTCGCGTAAGGCCGAGGATTTGGGAATTCAGCGCCCAGCAAGTGCCCACCGTGAAGGAAATTCTGAGGTACCACAAGGTCATATTTTCTCAGTGCGTAAAATAACTTATTAAATGTTTCTCTTTGCATAACTTTAGACGGAGGGTTTGTAAAATTTATTAATTTTGGGTGATCTGCAAGCAAGGGCTTGCTGAATACATTTGATATTTTGATAACAATAATTTGCCTATATAGAAATAACAAATATGCAGCTCAATTAAAGTAAATGGTCAGGAGACCATTTATTTAGGGGGGGGGGTAGAATGTGACGGCGTATAAAGTCCCATCTCGTGTATTTTTTACCATACCCATTTTTAGATTGTATGTATCGCTTTCTTTCTTTCTTTCTTTCTCTTTGGCGGGCATTGATTGGATAATTCTTTCACGTGATAAGAGCCGTGCTCAAGTGATCAGAGTCGTTTGCCGCGACCTTTATTCACTCTCCCTTTAGAAATTGACCAGAACGGTCTTCACTCTTTATTTCTACAGGTGAGTTTATAATCCTTAAAAAACTATTGCCATGATACATAATTTATTTAGTCATATTATTAAACGGGTGTATTTATTTTATCAGTTATTTTGTTTAAATTAATTGTTTTATTCGTTGTAACATATAGATTGCCTCTCTCTTTGGTAATTGACCAGAACGGTCGTAAAAATTATTATATCTATCTTCACTCTTTATTTCTACAGTTTAAATATAATACTTCTAGATCTACTGCACAGTCGAGTGTTTTTACCAATAAAAACAATCTGTGACACATGGAGGCTCGTCCGGGAGGTTTCTGCAAAAGTTTCCCGTCAGAAACGGTTGTGTAATTGATGTCGGAACTGAATGTTGGTTGGTAAAGCCCCCTTTACACTGGACGGCGTCCTTTCTGCGTCCCGTTGTACGGTCCTGTTTGAGAGTCAAAAACAATAATACCTTTGAGTGCCGACAACTGGCTTATCATTGAAAATTCATTTGCAACCAAAGCGGTGCATGTGCCTTCTTTTTTACGACCACAGCGATACCAGGTTCACGGTCTCACAAAGGACGCAGAAAGGACGCCGTCCAGTGTAAAGGGGGTTTAAGCGTCGAGCTGATGCAGCCAGTGGTGTGAACATCGTTTCTGTACCCTCTACAAGAGAGCGTCGTGGTGGAGACCTTCTGAAGCCTCTTCGACAAGGAGCGTCTCTGTCGCCGAAACCTGGTCGTCGTAAAATTAACTGAAACTGTGACTTCTACTGATCTGATCTCAGACTGAGTGAAGGTGAAGTAATAAAGCAGATACTTCACGTAAGGTACAACAATTGATTATATATATATATATATATATATATATATATATATATATATATATATATATATATGACTTTTGCAAGATGTTGAAATTGACATTGAAATTGATGATAGGGTGAATCCACCAGAGACAATCTGTGCTTTTGCGAACTGTATATAGAGGGGCGGATCCAGGATTATTTGAAGGGGGTCCGCGGATGCAACCCTCCCCCCCCCAACTCGGCGTGGGGTTCGGGGCCCGATGAAGGGCCAAAAAATTGGTATTTTAGAGGGCGAACGGTGCCAATTGGTACGGTTTAGAACTATGATTCAGTTATTCAAAGTTCTAATTTCTAGAGGGGACCAGAAATCGAATGGGGGGAGGTCAGGAGCCTCCTGACCCCCTCTAAATCCGCCACTGTATATACATATGCATCTAAAGTTGTTGATGCCATACAGTGTGTTTTATATATATATATATTTGCATTGATTAATTGACTGATTCATTACCTATTTGAAGTACTTTTTCCTTGTAAAAATTGTCTTTTATATTAAAAGTGATTTTGGCATAATCTGTGAACCAAATTGACGAATACTCTCATGTGACCTTGAGCGTTACTATCATAGGGAAGCTGGATGAACGCTAGTGAGTACTGATACACAACCAACCCTAGCCTTTTAACAACGTCAAGGTTAAATTAGCCTTATTAACGCCATTATAGGCCTCCAATTTGCTTGAAAGGTATAACTTGTTTCCAAAGGACAGAGTTATGCTTTTTACTGACAGCTTACAGTACGAATATTTGGTTCATTTAGTTTGATTAACGACCTGCAATACTTATTGATTTATACTTCTTTAAGCAAAATCTACAAACAGAAATTACACTCGCGAAAATGAGTTGCTTCCTGAAGTGAGATGATCTCATGGCCAGGATGAGCACACATTCTGGTAGAGAAGTTTCCGCCTGAGAAGTTAAAATTAAACTTTTGAAGAAATTAACAATATAAATATTTCAGTTCCATTAAAATCTCATGTACTTAAATGTCAGTCACAAACCAAGGCCCAAGAAATACTAAGCATTTGCCAGTTGCTAACAGGTATACACTCGGGCACCTCGAGTGAAGGCGGGACCCCTGCAAGGCGGGACCCCTGCGGAAAAAGGGTGTTCAGTCGCGCTTAGTAAAGCCTACATGTAGCTTGCACAGTTCCGACGTCATTCTGCGGAGGCTGAAAAATCGGAAAGATAGTTTTTTGTGCAGTGTACGTAAAGAGGCAGAGCGCGCGCCATTTTCTCCAAAATGCCAGCGTTTACTGTACAACTTAATAAAATATTCACTACCAAGCCAGAAACTGATGTCAAGAATCGGTTACTGTGTAAATTTAGAAGTAATGTTCTAAAGCACACATGCGTCGTTAAGCAATTATAATGGTTCACATATCAATTTAAGCGTACCTTTAGGAGTTCAAAACTGCTGTTACTTTCCAGCAAAAAACCGGGAAATATTTGTTTTAGAGTGCATTAATTTCACTAAGAATCGCTCACATTTCACATTGTGTACTTGTAAACCATGCTGGATAGAAGCAAACACATCGTACAGTACGAAGCTTGTGAAGTGCGCCAATAAAAACCTCCAATGCGGGTGTTAGTGAATCAAGAGATTTCAAAGGCACACGAATATAACTTCTCATTACTTATCACCGACTCTGTACAAAAGATTACGTAGAGAATAACACAATAAACATTTAACTATGTTATTGGCGCATTTTTAAAATTATTTCTTAATCGTCTTCATTCGTTTTTATTCAATAAATATCAAATCACAATTAATATATACTGATAATACTGATAATACTTTCACAGCAGAAGGTTGATGGTCTTATACAAGGCTTGACTGCCATGCAATGACCAGTTGGGTGCTTTCTAACGTATGGGCGAAAACTCATCCACTTTCAAACACACACAGACACACACACACACACACACGCACGTATGCATGCACGAGTTCAGAATTTAAACGCCAAGCTCGCCCTTTAAAAATATACCTGGCGCGTATATACGCCTCACCTTATATCTGACACACTCAGTGTCAGGCGTGCTGCCTATTGCCTTCATTCTGTCTTCTCCATACCTCACGAAGCTTTGACGGGACACTAGGGACATGGTACGTGTACTTTGGAGGACCAATGCACAAATCCTTCTGCTGGACCGCCCTTTGATCCAAGCCATCTACTACTACTAAGTGTATTTCTATTTATGTATATAGTTAACTTGCAGGTGCTTTCACTAATCATACGTGTATGTATCACCGGCAGAGTGCGCCGTTATTCGTGTGTAAATAATAAAAGTGCCCCGTTATCATAAGCAAGTTGCTACATGTAAGATCTGTCGTTAAACAATATAGTTTTACATTTGTGTTCAGTGAAATATACTTTAAACTCTGGAACACTGTTCCTTATAAATTGGAGTACATCTTCTAACCTACGTTCGAATATCAGCTACGTACTGGAATATGTAAGTCCGATTTCTCCAAATATAAGTGAAACAAGTTGTCTTCTTCCTTCTAAAGACACACTAATTCTGTCCCTCAAGTACAATGTTATGTTTTGTTTTAAATGCCGCTGGCATGATATCAGTTTTGTACCTGGAAGGCAATGCGCGTTGCCTTTCGAATGTTTTTTTCTTCATTCGAACCAATAACGGATTGCGTCAACAGACAGTTCTATTGCAATAGTAGAAAAGAAAGTCGCAAAAGTTATCCAATCCGAATTTCCATGAATAGGGATTTGGCCGAGAAATATCGGATAAGAGTTTGTGTGTTTCGCACAATACTTAAGTTTTTGAATACCACAGTGGTGAAGTGGCATTGGCCTAAATTGTAGGTCTTATCAACTCCAAGAACTGTGGCTTGTGCCACAGGACCTGAGCAACAAAAACGCTTCAAGTCCTGAATCTGTTTGTCAGTGTAACAAATTATTGTTGGCACTTTATTGACTTTCCTAGGGAAATCACTGTGGCGAATTTGACTCTGAAGATAATTCACAGTTGCAGCCAAGTTGGTCCCTCCACTGCTTGCACCATCACTTCTTGCCTTTGATTTCTGCAATTTATTTTGCACCTGGCGCAAGTTTGAAGGCTTGTCTTGTTCTCTTGGTGCTTCACGAATGAGTTCCTCATATATGGCTTTTGGGTTTCCAAGTGTTGCTACAGGTAGCTGTTCCATTTCTTTCGAGAACGTGTGGTTGTGTTCTGATGTATGCCCTTGTTGTTTTTCTTGCATTCCGATGTGCAGCTCTCCCAGGGAAATTTCCAATATACTCAACAATGGCGAAATGTGGTCTTTCCTTTCCCTCTAGTAAGGTCTTAAAATATCCGCTGTGTCTACTTAGCCTACTGAATTGGAGAGTGATCGCTGTGGCTATTGCTCTGTCAGATTTCTTAGGATCGTGGATCGTCTGTCACACGTCCGAATTGGAGTGAATGATCTCAGACAATGACAGGTATGACAGATATGATGTCACAATATTGACGGTCGTCGGCAGGGGTCGAGCTGCCTCTACCTGACCTGACTCACTCACCTGTTGTGGCCTATCTTGGAACATGAAGAGCAGACCAGGTGAAGGAAGGAAAAAATCCGATTACAACAGTCTGTTCATCAGGGTCAACATCTGTTTGCTGGGGTGAGATGGGCGGACCTATGGTGATTATATCTGGGAGGGAATCTGATGTGTTCATATCTTTACATGTGAGGTTTATGTTTCCTCTTGCCTTTGCAACCTGTTTTTTACCAGAACCACAAATTGGTTTGGTCTAAAGCCATCCTGAGTGGCAGGCACTGAGGTATTAGTCCACATTAAAGTTAGTCTTATATCCGGACGGTGCTTGGTTGAAGCCCCCCTCCCATATATAGCTCTTGTCAGAGGCACTGACAGGAATTCGGTATGGAGAATTGTCCAACTGTACGGATGGAGTGGTACTTTTAGAGCAGTGCTTGCAGCATACAGGTGAACTAAACCTGACCAGTAACCAGGCCCACAAACAGTTCTAAGTCCGTCATCATACGGTTCAACAAAGACAGCATCCCCTGCCAACTTGCCAGTATAGCTATACTGTGGATGTTAACTGTATTCATCAGGGTAGTTCAGCATCTCAAGTGCAGTAAGCTTTCGGATGTGAAGATGGTATGAATTGTTGAATTAATAATAGCACAGACAATGCTTTCCTACATTCAATTGTTCGGCTCTACTCAAGGGCCCTTCCTCGGGACAAACTGGTCATGCGCTGATGACCTAACGCTGAGATGGATTTATTGACCAGTTATCCTATGAATGTCCCCTACGCACCCCTGGCCCAAAAGGTCATCATAGATGTGGGCCAGCTGGAAGCGCCCCTCGTCCCTATTGAAGTTCTTTAAAGTTCTTATATGTATGGCCTCCTTGACACCTCTGGCAAAGTCTTCGCTCTCTTTGTCTATTATTCTGGCGCTGTCCCAATCAATGATGTGATTCTCTTTTACTGAGTGATCTGTGAGAGCAGATTTCCACATTTGTGTATCCGATTCTTTACCTCTGTCTCTGGTGTAAACCATCGTATTGTCCATTTTCTCAACTTCTGTTCTGTGTTCTTCAACTCTTACTGATAGTTTACGTTTACGTTTGGTCTCTCCTACGAACACTTATCACGATTTTTGCAACCAATGGTGTATACGCTTTCTTTTTGCTCTGGTTTGTCTTTAGAGTGCACTAAAAACTGTTTTATGTAACATGCATACACTGTATATGCTCTGCTTTTGCTTTAAACTATTTTCTATAATACCAAACATTACATACATGTGATCTAAACACCCACGGTCTTGTCTAAAACCATTTGGCTGCTCATCATCTATTATTTCATTATCTTCGGCACACTTTGATAATTTCCTGTTCAGAATAGATGTGTATATCTTATATATGCTGGACGATAATGTTATTCCTCTATATTCTATAGCTAGTGGATCGCATAAATTAACACCATTACCTTTAGGTATAGGATTAAAGACGGTATCTAGTTCACCCTGTCTATAACTATAAAGGTTGCCATTAACCTGGTCTAAGAAAGATTTATCAAAACTGTCACAATTTGTATCTAAGACACTAAATAGACCGGCATAGTCATTTTGCCATTTCAATAAAACCTCAGTGATATCCGTGGAAACAGTTCCATCATCTCTCACTACATCCATGGGCATGGTGCTTTTCCTATCCTTCTGAATTCCAATACGACCGATATCACCCCAGAAGCTCCGTGAATCACTGGTATGTTTTTGTAAGAGTTCTTCTTGCGATCTACGCCAAAACTGGCGTTTTGCTCGTTGTTTAGCACGATCAAAAGCGCGACGTTTGCTTACATAATCATTTTTCAAATGTAAAGAGATTCTACTATTTGATTTCAATGATGACAAAGGCGTTCCGAATCCCTGACATTTTCTCACATTATTTGAAGCTCCTCGTTCCACCAATCTTTAAATACTTCTTTGCCCGGGTGCCTCCACCACCCACAGATCTATAAGGAAGTTTGGAAGTTTGATAGGACAAAGATCATTTTAGACAAGCATTATATAATGCAAAGCCAAGCGTCTTCAAACTAATTAAAGTATTATCACTTAGCAATGTCTCACAATTAAACAACTAAGGAAAATACTGAAAATGTTCGTCGGTCCGATGTATTATTATTATAATTATTAGTAATAGTATTAGTATCAGTAGTAGTAGTTGTCATTATTATTATTATTATTATTTGTATCGGTAGAAGTTGTAGTAGTAGTAGTAGTAGTCGCTTTGATATGACTTTATATTGCCATTGTATTCCATTGTGATGAGCCGTAGTGGTCAAGGGTTTAATACATTGAAATTGAATATCACAGATACAGTAAGGATTTAAAAATCAGTATGGGGCGTATCTTCATCCCTGAAGAAGATTATATCATGAAAATAGGCAGAGACCAGAAGTGTCATTGTCATTTTGGTGTAAATGTTTTAGTTATGGAGTTATTAGTCCCTAATTACAGATTTTCATTAAACAAAGGCATTATTTAGCTTTATCAACGAAAAACATCTAAACTAAGACTTAAAGAAAAATCGCTGGCAGGGTTTTGGAGTACTAAATGGTGGCATTAAATAAGTGGTGAAACGGTGATCATAGTTGCTCGGGTAAAAGAGAAATTTGAGAAACCGATTTTTCAGTTTTTACTCCCAAAAAGCAATTAAGACGTCATCCGTAAGATGACATATGTGTAAATGTTAATTAATTTAGTCATTGCAGTTTAGTCACTAAAGATTTATCTATTACCCAGGGACACGGCGCCGCTGTACAAAGGGCTGCAGGGTTTCTTCGCATATGCAGTGGAGAAGCAAGTATCACTCAGCATCTATCCCATCTATCTAGCCTATTAAGGAACGCGTCGAAGCAAACAGAGACATTCTGAGATCCATTGCCAAAACACTGTTGACGTGCGCACAACAATACGTGCCAATAAGAGGAAAGACTGAAGAACGATCAAATGTTTCCGCGTTTCTTCGGTTGTCAGCATCTGACACTGTGACTCAGCACATTGTGAAGGGCCCAATAAACGCTCAATATAAGTCGCCTCTCATTCAGAATGAATTACTAGACCTGATGGCCAAACAAGTCCAAGAAAGCATTATTCGTGAATGCAAGGCTACCCAGTAGGCTACCCGACGAAACGACAGATGTTAATAACACAGAGCAAGTCTCCCTTTCTCTCCGCTACGTAGATTCCACATTTCAAGTGCAAGAGAAGCTTATCACTTTTGCCAGCACTGAGGCAACAACCGGCGAAGCTTTAGCAGGTCTGATAACATCTACCATCAATGACTTGGATCTCGACCTTGAGAATCTCGTCGGGCAGGGCTACGAAGGAACCGGATTCGTCGCCCCTCTTTTTATCGTGCATTATCGCCTACTACGGTACACTGTCCCTCTGTGCAAGCTGCTTCGATCAGCAGACAGACTGTGATCTGGTTCAGGCATCCTCCCAAGTGTCAAGATTGCGCGATCTCTATCAGGAGAAAAGGGACAACGGCTTCTACGACGAGGCGTGGGGGGGGGGATTTGCTGCCCAACATGACATAGAGGTGTCTGTCCCCAGGAGAGCAGCGTGGCAAGTCCATTCCTCTCTTTTCCTGACCATGTGATTTCGGAGATTTCGACTCGTCTCCTTCCCACGACTGTTGGCACAGAGTTTGATCCCCCAGCTGCTGTCCAACCTGACCGACGAAGATTGGACTAAAGTAAAGTGGTAATATGGTCTGGTCCTCAGTGAAAATGTGGACATTGAGTTGGAACTCTGGCGACAAGCCGTAGACACGGAGGGCATAACTGGGGAGGAGTTACATGTAGGAGATGCGGTGAAAGCGAGTTATGTTTTATTCCCCAATATCCATAGGATACTCAAGGTTCTCCTTACCATACCAGTGTCGACGGAAACAGCAGAGAGATCATTCAGCACTATGAGACGTCTCAAGACCTATTTAAGATCTACCATGTCTGACAAACGATTGTCGTTATTGGGACTATTTCATGTTCACAGAGAGCTCAAGATAGACATAGACCAAGTTCTAAATGGCTTTGACTGTTCAGGCCACAGGAGAATTCACGTGGCTTTTAAGTAAAGACTGTCGCTTTTATACCCATTCATGTCTTGCATCAAAAAACAGTAACGTTCTTACAATGTAGAGATAATTAAAATAGTGAAATGAAATGTGGACATACGCATGTGCAATCCAACTATTTTACATTTTTAATAATCACTTTTTAATTAATAATATAGTCAGCAGTTGCAATCCTTTTGCTTTAACATTTTTGAGAGTGTGATTTAAGTATATAAAACATATCTTTCCAATGAATTATTACTGTTTCTCCACCACGACGAAAATGTATTCTTCATTATATGATCAGTGTTTCACATCGAACAGTGTCGCGCAACGTAATTCAGAGTTCAGCTTGATACAAGCAGGCATAACCTGCAGTTCGTTAAGTGCTCAAAGTTTATGTTTCAGTTAGTTCCCTTTTAAATAAATACCGTTCTAGGTAAATTAGAATATTGAAACTTTTAACTTAAATGATGATTTTATTATTAGTAAAAATTAAGCTGCAATATGTGGTACATATGCTGTGATTAGGCTGTTCTTCATCTGTTGCGTTAGTCTACATTTTACTGTACGTGCTCGGAATTTTGAAAATCTGTGCATACAATTTTTAAAGGTCTGGTTACGCCCCTGACCAGCAGTAAGGAGGGGGAGCGCTCGCCATTTTCTCCAAAGTGTCAGAATCTTATGTCTACCTACCAAATTAAATGTGCACTAACCAGACCGAACCTGATGTAAATCGGTTACTTGTCTCATGGAGGTATTCAAAATGGGTTAAAGTCGGGGGTTAAAGTACGTTGAGTAAATTGAAAACCCTGGCATTTTGTCTCTTTTGGACACGACACACTGAAAATAATATGTGAAACAAATAACTACATATATTGGCTTTCTGCGACCCAAATGTACCCATGAAGTATAGCAATGATGCTGAGCTTACTTATGCCCCGATTTGGTGAGCCTTTCGATACAAATTAAAATCGAGATTTTCAATACACTCAACGTGCTCCGTCTTGGGAGTTCAACACCCCCCACCCCCAAATACCTGTTGAGACACTAAACGAGATTAGCTGTTACAATATAGTAATTAACACACACTGTAGACACTCTTCCTGTTTCGATTACAAATGCAGTTTTATGTTGATAAACAATTAATTTGTGATATATCAGTCTGAACGTGATGGACCATTCCTGCACGCACGTTTAAATATCGAATGAATGTCGATGGTGAGAGAACTTTAATCAGTCCAACTTTCTCAGTAGCAAACTACCAATTTGACATATTGCCATTATTGGCGATAATTAAGACTATGAGCTGACTTCAAAATCTTAAACGTCCAACGTGAGATAAAACTTGTGCCGATGGCGTGTGATAAATCTTGCACCGGTGGTGTGTTCGAGAGAGTCACCAGTCACCTGTGATACAGGGTCCGCTTCTTATTGATTCGTATAGGTACGTGTAGTCGCCGTCCATCACATTGTCCCACTAAAGCGCACGTTGTATGTTACGGTAACCTTCAAGGAGGGCTGAGTCTCTGTTATAACTACCGTCAGTATCTTTACACCACTGTTTATGTGAGATAATGTATTCCACAATACCTTAGTCATGCAAAGCATTGTCTTAATTAAATCACGGCAAACCAAACCAGTATTGTTTTCAAATTAATTGTCCCCAATTAGGCTCTTAGTGGTCCCCAAAATAGGGCCCCAGGACTCTCGCAAGTACATTGAAAATACTGAAGGGCTGCGTCGATGAATTCTTCTTTGCTGATCAGACCATCCTTATTGGCGTCCAGTGCCTCGAAAGATGGCTTGACCGACAGGGGATGAACTCCAAAGCATTCCAGAACTCTGGTGTACTCTTCAAGAGTCACCATATTGTCGTTGTTAATGTCAACGGCGGTAAACATTAGCTCGGCCATCTTCGTGTTTACCTCGCTGAAATTGGGATCGGTGAAAGTGCGAGCAAATTTGCCTATGATCGCATCGAAGGTAGCAGTCTGGTTATCTCCTCCGATAAAATCAGTCCATCCTTGCGATAGCAGGATCTCGAGGTCCTTGGCCTTAGTTTCTCCAAGGAATGTTTTCGCTCGGTTGACGGGGTAGTCTACAAAATCCTCTCTGCTTATCACACCATCTAAGTCTCGGTCGTTCAATACAAAATAGGATCGCAATTTGCGCAGCCAGTAGTACGGAGGCGGAGCGCTCGCCATTTTCTCCAAAGTGTCAATGTCTTATGTATAACTCCCAAATTAAATGTGTTATTACCAGACCGAACCTGATGTAAATCGGTTACTTGTCTCGTGGAGGTATTCAAAATGGGTTAAAGACCGCGTGCGGCATTACAAGTACTTGTATGCAAAACACCAAGCCTTCTTGGTTGTAACACATTGAGTCTCTTTAAAAACCATTTATTTTTTACCATCTTGACACAAGTGCACTGATGTTACATGTATTCTAAGCAAAGGTGGTGATCTCTCAAAACGGAAGTACGTTGAGTAAATTGAAAATCCTGGCATTTGTCTCTTTTGCACACGATACACTTGAAATAATATGTTAAACAAATAACTACATATCTTGGCTTTCTGCGACCCAAATGTACCCATGAAGTATAGCAATGATGCAGAGCTTACCTAAGCCCCGATTTGATAAGCCTTTCGAAACAAATTAAAAACGAGATTTTCAATACATTTAACGTGCTCCGCGCGGCCGTCTTGGGACTTCAACCCCCATGCTAAAGACCTGTTGAGACACTAAATGAGATTAGCTGATACAATATAGTTATTAACTCACACTGTACACACTTTTCCTGTTTCGATGACGAATGCAGTTTTATTTTGATAAACATTCAATTTGTGACATATCAGTCTAGGTGTGATGGACCATTCCTGGATGTTACTTTCTTGTACAGATGTAAATCCACGCACGTTTAAATGGCGAATGAGTTTGTTCTCCTATATGGAGATGGTGAAAGGATTTGCATCAGTCCTACCTTCTAAACAACCTACTACAGATTTGACAAATTGCCATTATTGGCGACAATTAAGACTATGAGCTGACTTCAAAATCTTAAACGTCCAACTTAAGATCTTGTACCGATGGCGTGTGATAACTCTTGTACCGATGGCGTGTGATAAATCTTGTACCGATGGCGTGTGATAAATCTTGTACCGGAGGTGTGTGTGAGAGAGTCACCAGTCACCTGTGATACAGGGTCCGCTTCTTATTGATTTGTACAGGTACGTGTAGCCGCCGTCCATCACATTGTCCCACCAAAGTGCACGCTGTATGTCACGGTAACCTTCAAGGAGGGCGGACTATCCGTTACAACTACCGTCAGTATCTTTACACTTCATGTTTATGTGAGATAATGTATTCCACAATACCTTAGTCATGCAGAGCATTGTCTTAATTAAATCACGGCAAACCAAACCAGTATTGTTTTCCAATTAGTTGTCCTCCCAATCAGGCTCTGAGTGGTCCCCAAAATAGGGCCCCAGGACTCTCGCAAGTACATTGAAAATACTGTACGGCTGCGTCGATGAATTCTTCTTTGCTGATCAGACCATCCTTATTGGCGTCCAGTGCCTCGAAAGATGGCTGGACCGACAGGGGATGAACTCCAAAGCATTCCAGAACTCTGGTATACTCTTCAAGAGTAACCATATTATCGTTGTTTATGTCAACGGCGGTAAACATTAGCTCGGCCATCTTCGTGTTTACCTCGCTAAAATTGGGATCGGTGAAAGTGCGAGCAAAGTTTCCTATGATCGCATCGAACGTAGCAGTCTGGTTATCTCCTCCGAGAAAATCAGCCCATCCTCGCGATAGCAGAATCTCGAGGTCCTTGGCCTTGGTTTCTCCAAGGAATGTTTTCGCTCGGTTGACAGGGTAGTCTACAACATCCTCTCTGCTTATTACGCCGTCCAAGTCACGGTCGTGTAATACAAAAAAGGAACGCAATTTACGTAGCCAGTAGTAAGGAGGCGGAGCGCTCACCATTTTCTCCAAAAAGCAGGCGTTTAGTGTACAACTAAATATGCACTAGCCAGGCCGAAACTGATGTCCGGAATCGGTGACAGTGTCCATTTAGAATGAATGGGTCAAAGCACGCGTATGGCGTTATGCAATTTATGTGGCTCACATATCAATTTCAGGATGCCTTGAGGGGTTCAAAAATAAGTCAAAGGTGTACAGTTACTAGTACATATGGGCACTCGTCATTCTCCGGCAAACCTATACCCCCAGCATGTTTGTGAGGAGAAGTTGTCATTCTTGAAAAGCATATCATTTTTACCTTCGACCACGAGGTTGTTTTCGTTACCATCTTTTTGTTTGTTTGTTTATTGTTATGCAAGAAGTCATGGCCTAATTTTGATGAAATTCTCAGAATGAGTCACAAATGGGCCAAGGCAGAAATGATTAGATTTTGGTATTGACACATTAATTTATTAAGTTTTAAGGAAAGGTCAGATATGGGCCAAAAAGAGAAATGATTAAATTTTGGTGATGATAATTTAACTAATCAGATTTTGGTTAATCATTAGTTAATTATTTGTCTTGGCGGATGTTGCCCTCTCTGAGTGCTTTTTCAGTTTTTAAATAAAATGGTAAAGATTTTACGTTTACATTGTAAATTTAAAGTAAGAATGGCATCATAAGTGTTGTTTCATTTTTTTTCCGTTAAAACTTGTTTTTCACGATGCTTTTTCGCGGCCCTATTCACCACTGGTACAAAGTACTAACAGTAAATACTAGTACAAATAGACTGAAGTGCAGGCTAGCCATTTTAGGGCATTTCACAGTTTCACTTTTACTTATACATGTATTTTAAATACGTTTAAGAACATGAATAATAAGCACTGGTAATAAATTTAAATATGCCCTTGACTACAATCTTTACTAGTAAGTTGCTTTCACATTTCAAAGGGCAAAATGTGTAATGCCCACGATATAAAAAAGGAGAAAGGTTATGTTTTCACCCCTGTTTGTCTGTTTGTTTGTCACCAACATAACTCAAAAATTTATTGACCGATTTTCATGAAATTTTCAGGAACTGTCAGAAGTGGGCCAAGGAAGAGATTATTAGTTTTTGGTGGTGATCCAGATCAATAATCAATCAATAATAATAAAAAAATCGCTGCCTTGGCGGAGGTCTGCGCCCTCGGAGTGCTTTTCTGGTGATATATATCTTTGAAGAAACAATTAAGTTCCTGTCCTTCACCTCAGCCCTCTGTTCCTCCTATGTCATCATGTTGCACGAAGTATCACCGTTTGAACCCCGTCAACCAGGGTTGGACACTAAAGCAGACATTATTCTTGCATTGTTTAAACTATCAACTTTAGAAGGGATTTTATATGCGCTCTGCCTATTTCGTCCCGGTTTTCATCTCATTCTTCTTTTTCCGTTTTCATTATAAAATAAGGATCCCCAAAAAGGTTTGAAAGAAAATATGGTACAAATATGAATATTTTTTTTTTTTAGATATCCAGGATGTAAAAAAATGGAATGGTCATTTTATACATTTTAGAGGGCATTCACAACAGATGATCCACGGACATACTGATCCGCGGATCAAAATGGCGGTCCCAACATGAAAGCAGAGACGACTAACTGTTAAGGGTATCTCCGCCGCCGCACGCGCCATTAAACGGATTAAATCACGATTCTGAGGTTTAATTACTAGACCCCTACAGGGACGGCGCGTGTGGAGGCTGGGAGAACACCAGCGGATTACTCGGCTCTGCTTTCATGTAGGGACCGCTACATTTGATCTGTGGATCAGTATATCCGAGGATCATCTGTTGTGAATGTTCTCTAAGATGGATTCACTATGGTTATGCGCCATCTTATCTTTACCATCTATCACTGATAACCGGACTGTCACCAATTTTCAGTGATAGGCAAGACATCTTCCTGCAAATTTTCCTATTTTAATTTTTATTTTTGTTTCCATTTGCATACACTGTCAAAAAAAAAATTAAGGTATAATGAAAAAATAATGCTGACATTGATGTCTAAAGGACCTTAATATACTGTTTATGACCTGGTGGTCAGTGATGGATAAATTTGTGACAGGTACATAAACATCGACCACTGCTAGTAACTGTATCGCTCACGAGATCGCAAAATGTGAAGATAGGCTGTGTAAAATGCCCCTCACCCAAATGTAAACGTTAAACGTCAGCAGGTCTAGAGACCGGATAGCGCTCATAACAGTGCACAACCGCGTCAGGTTTTATTTCCAGTGTGCATCTACATGTATCGATAATTGACGGGAAAAATACTTTTCCCGCGTTCCACTTTGATGTATTTTAAAGGACGTTAATAATGCCTGACATGCTGGCCAGAAGTGGTCGCATATCAAGGATAATGCTGTGTTTACGATATAATATCAACGTGTTCTGTCAATCGAAAATGTATTTCCAAGATGCCAAGTACGCTATCCTAAGCTATTTCTATCCCAAGAAAGGTCCAAAGAATAATTTCGCAGGCGTATCGCATGTTTTTGTAAAGAATTCACATGCAGCATTCACAAACTCATCTCTGCTGATCAGACCATCATGATTGGTGTCCAGTGCCTGAAAGGACGGAGGAACAGACAGGGGGTGGACACCATAGCACCTCAGATAGGTGGCGAACTCCTCAATGGTGACGAGGCCGTCGTTATCTGCGTCTACGGCTTCAAAAAATAGGGAGCCCACCTGTCGGAGAAGTTCGTGAAAGTGGGGCTCTGTGAAACAGCGCCCGTAGTGATGGATCATGGTATCGAGGTTGCAGGTGCTCTCCCCTCCCCAGAACAATTCCCACGCCTTCGACAACAGACTTTCGAGTAGTTCTACCTTCTCCGCTTTGAGATGTTGCTTCATTGTTTTCACAGTGCCGCCTACGAACTCCGTTCTATACACCATGCCATCGCCGTCTTTATCGAATAATGCATAAAAAGATCGCATTTTGCGTACCCAAAATTCTGGAAGAGGAGCCACTGACATAGTAAATATTAGCACGAGGAAGTCGGCCGCAACAAATTTCGTCAGTACCAGTATAAACGGTGCTCAAGCATCAAATGTCTGCGCCTTGTTACAAAACTAGGTCACGCAGATACAGCTTTTGTGTGTCAGACACTATAAATACCTTAAAATTAGCTTTTTATTGTAACTGATAGGTCAGACATCATGGCTTTCTTTATAGAGTATTTTACATTTATTGTTCAGCTGGTTGTATAAGATTTTCAGAATGCATCCATCTACATTTAAAACGTCATTTAGCGTTTACGCCATACAGCATGGTAAAATTGACTTCCCCTAATAGGAACAAATTCTTTCAAAAATTTATTCCATCTTTTTTTGAATAATAGAGAAATTGTTTACTGTGAGTACAATCATATACCACAAACCAAATTCACGTGTTTATTTTTTAACCTGGAAAGGAAGGCTGCTAGAAGCCTACGCTCGAGTTGAATCTACCGGTAGCTACGTGTACATGAAGGACTACCATGTCTTACAATTAATGCAGAAATTAAATAAAATATATAAATTGTGACAAACACCCAAAAAGTTCCACTGTACATGTTCACTTGGACGAATAAAGCGTTTTTTTTTCTCCAAGTTGTAAGTGACAACTAATTTGTACTAAGTACTTATCAGACCTGAGAATGCTTTGTTTGTGTTGAAAAATTTTGCATTAGACTTTTTGATCAAGGTTTCAGATAATTAATTTAATTTTGATTAAAAGTACTCCGGTGACAATGACAATGACAATGACTCTAGTTGATTCTTAGATGATATCTGTAATATCCATTAACCGTTGTCCCATCACGCCTTGTTATAAAGAGTAGAAAATATGCGTGATAAAGAGCTACACAAACACAAAATAAATGTACATAATGACATTTCTCCACTACATGTTAATGGAGTATCCATAGCTAAATGCTCATTCACAAATCTAAATTGCTATTTACAACTTCGTCGAAGGTAGCTTAACAGATAAATATTCATTCTCGTGTCTCTTTAAAGACTCAGTCCTTTCTTAGCGTATATGCGAAAAAGGGGTTTAAAGGAAAGAGACAGGAGAAAATATGCCCTTTCTAAAAAGAAATCATGAGACTGAAAAGACCTCGCTTTTGGAAAAACAGAAACGGACGCAATGTCCATTGATGAAGAAGAAAGTTTCATTTCTTGGACAGTACTATACTGAATACGATGGTCACTTGCGGCTACAGCAATGGAGGAGGCACATTTCCCCAGCCTTTACGGGAACTCCGGGTAAACTGAAGGTCACAGAAAACGGAATAAGCTTTGGCAGCTCGGTTGGTCTTTTCAACCAATTTTTGCATGTTGTATTGCAGCTTGACGATGTCCGTGCATTTTACATCGGCGATCTCTATCAACATGTCCTCGTCTGTGTCACGAGAAAGACGCACTACAAGAGCCGCATTTTGGTGTTCAAGGGGAAAAACCAGCAAGACTGTTTGGATCTGGTTGACGCGTATAGAAAAGTTGCAGCCGATGTCAACAGCGGCTGTGGTAGATCCGGAGGGGAGAGCGAAGACCTTTGTCGCCGTGGATCAAGTATTTCTGTGACTTTGCAGCCGCCATTACTCACAAAGAAGAAACGCAATGAGCAGGAGTATGTGCTTATTGAGAAAAAAGTTTCGTATCTCGGACAAAAAATATTAGTATATGATGTTGGCAATGGCGAGCAATTTAACGCATGGCGGAAATATTTCTCTCCATTCAGTGCTGGCGTGAAGAAAAATATCAAAGTCACAGAACATGGGATAATGTTTGATAAGGCAAATTGTTTAGATCATAACTCTGCCCTGTTACTTGAATGGAAAGTAATCCGCAACCTTTACATTGGGGACTCTTACATAAATATTATCGTCTGTGAGCTCAACGTTTGCAGTTGGAAGACAGCCGTTTTTGTCTTTAGATGCAAAAGTCAAAGAGACTGCAACGAATTGATGGATGCATACACATATCTTGTAGGCGAATTTAGGAGATTACGCCTGTATTCAAAGTTTATACCCTAAGCAGTGCAGAACAGCACCACTGCTAATTTAGATTTTCATCTGGCGAGTCATTCATGAGGACATTAAAAGTGCTGTTTATGCCCAGACCCATTAGTAAGACTGAAATGTTTGCGCAGTCTAAATTAAAGACGCGAGAAAAAATTAATGCATTAAACAACTATTTTTCATATTCTTTGGCATTGCAGTTTTCTTGCATTTTTTATCATTAAACTTACACGCAAGCCTCTTTGACGATGCTTCAGATGAGCAGCTTCTCAGGCACGCATTTTATTTTCTTATGCACACTGCATAGGCACACTACAGATTATGTTCCACATAATCTCAAACAGTCCCACTTGGCGTGACCATCTACACATATATAACGAGACTGTACGCGGTGACAGCCCGCTGTTAAGGCACGCATACACTTGACTGGAATTTTAATCACTTCGTTGAGGGCTTCATACAGATCATGACGTAATTAAGTTACTACTAAATGTACTAAATGCAAGGAACAACGTAAATCATTAGGTATTCTACCCGCGTTTATGTTATACATGTACGTATATTATTTAAGTGTCAAGTTGATTTGCAACTTCAGTGTATTTCTCGTATAACGCTATCAAGGAAAAAATCCCGTGCTTTTATATAGCTCAGTGCCTGTTAATTTTACACAGTGGAGAACTTCAAAGTTATTAAGTTTATTAAAATATCTCACCAAAACCCCTCTAAAACCAAGAGATACCACAAGGTCTTAGTCAACTCAGAGGAAGTTTAATCTGATTCAAACTAATACTATTCATGTGAAAGAATTTTCGTAAGGCATCAGCAGGCGCTTAAATACATGAAGTAGTTTGCAAACAGCCAATGAATCAAACCGGATATGTCTTAATACAGTGCATGGTGTATCTTGGCGGTAATGGCATACACTCGTTCCTTCCATAACTTTTCAGTATGGATACCGACACAGAAGCCCATCTGGAGCAGAGTTCCAGGGCAGAAGCTGTGTACTATATACACAGATAGCTGTACACATACAACCGGTGCTGGAAAATAAAGCGATGATATAATAAGTGAAAATGAAGTAAAAGATATATTCGCGAGTTCTACGTTTTTTCTAAATCTCTGGTGACAGAAAGTGATAAATCTGTTTGTTTAAATCATTGGATTTTGTTTTATTCATGCCTTGCTAGTATGGGGTATTTTCAAATTCAGGAACGAATGTTTTAGCCTATTTTAGTAAGTAAAGTTTTAATGACAACAACCCTTTTGCATAATATTCGCACATTAATAATACTAACAGAATAATACTGCTCCAGATGCACGTTTATTTAAACTGCACATTTTGTCCTCAATCTCAATTACATTTTTTCATAATGCCTAATAACGAAGGTTTTGCAAATTGCTTTCTATGAGAAAGCAGTTTTGATGTGTTTCGTGTAAAACATTTGACTGTACCCTGTCATAATATCGTCATGCTTACATTGTAATGGATGTAACTGAATTGAAGAATTTGTTAATGGCTAAAATATTACAGAAAAAAGACGGAACGAATTTTTTTTCAATATCTAAAATCCTTGTGACACTGGGAAAGTTGCCTCAAGCTATCTATTGAGTTATCTAAAATAAATATTTTAGATATTTTCTGAGATGTTAGAAATCATACCCGCTTCCTGAAAAGTTGCAGATTTTCTACTTTGGTACATATAAACTAGATAAGATGGAGAATGTGAGATGGCGCTGCGAGCAACAGTAACGAAGGTTTAAACTTGAGTCCGTTTACGTTTTTTGTGTGAGAACAGATAAATCTAGTAATTTTTATTTTTAATTTAAGTTGCTAGTCTAATGTTTGTAAAGTTCCACCAGGAATAACAATTCTTCTGCTAGCTTACTTTTAATATCTTTTAAAATGTTAAATAGACCTATAATTGAAAATGAGCGTTTCCTTAATTAACATGCTCTCGGTGATGAATAAAATGATAATTTCCGTCAAATTGTGCGACTATTAACCCAAAAAATCAAGTTGACTAAAATCTACCAAGATACATAAATGCTAGTTGAAAATAAAGTTGGTGGCATTATTGTAAAACTAACAGTAGGTATTCGGTGTTCATTACGATTTCACGTCCATTGTTAATAATCAATGACTGATCATGATTATGGAGTTAAACATTACTTATACTATCTTTTTTCTTTTTTCATTATTATCATCCGTGCAAAGATAAGAAATATAATTATGCATTTGTATGATGGACGCACATCTGAGGTCGTGTGATCTTTGCTGTTACTTACATGCACTGGGAATTGTCCGCCTGGCAAGGGCTTTCTGTACATGGGGATGCAATGTTGAAACACTGGGGTCTCATTGTGGTCGCTGTAGAACAGAAATAACGGTTTTGAATGCAAATTTTTCTCTTTGTATCATATATATATATATATATATATATATATATATATATATATATATATATATATATATATATATATATATATACTGCATACTGTCGGGCTGCAAAGTGAAACAAATGCCTTAAGGTTGTTTTGTTACGACTGCGTGACCTAAAAGAGATAATGTGGTACTTGACGTTGGATATTAACAACTACAGGGGAATATCTATTACAAGCTGCCTCGGAAAGCTGTACAACTCGGTCTTGTTAAACAGAATTCAAGCACACACATCACAACAAGGGGTACCCCTACCTCATCAAACCNTATGTACAAAAGTGGGCACTTTTACCCCCTTATTCGCACTCATCCTTTTCCTCATTTAATTCTTATTTTTGTTTCCATTTGCATACACTGTCAAAAAAAATTAAGGTATAATGAAAAAATAATGCTGACATTGATGTCTAAAGGCCCGTCATATACTGTTTATGACCTGGTGGTCAGTGATGGATAAATTTGTGACAGGTACATAAACATCGACCACTGCTAGTCACTGTATCTCTCACGAGATCGCAAAATGTGAAGATAGGATGTGTAGAATGTCCCTCACCCAAATGTAAACGTTAAACGTCAGCAGGTCTAGAGACCGGATAGCGCTCATAACAATGCACAACCGCATCAGGTTTTATTTCCAGTGTGCATCTACATGTATGGATAATTGAGGGGAAAAATATACTTTTCCCGCGTTGCCACTTTGATGTTTTTTAAAGGACGTTAATAATGCCTGACATGCTGGCCAGAAGTGGTCGCATATCCAGGATAATGCTGTGTTTACGATATAATATCAACGTGTTCTGTCAATCGAAAATGTATTTCCAAGATGCCAAGTACGCTATCCTAAGCTATTTCTATCCCAAGAAAGGTCCAAAGAATAATTTCGCAGGCGTATCGCATGTTTTTGTAAAGAATTCACATGCAGCATTCACAAACTCCTCTCTGCTGATCAGACCATCATGATTGGTGTCCAGTGCCTGAAAGGACGGAGGAACAGACAGGGGGTGGACACCATAACACCCCAGATAGGTGGCGAACTCCTCAATGGTGACGAGGCCATCGTTATCTGCGTCTACGGCTTCAAAAAATAGGGAGCCCACCTCTCGGAGAAGCTCGTGAAAGTGGGGCTCTGTGAAACAGCGCCCGTAGTGATGGATCATAGTATCGAGGCTGCAGGTGCTCTCCCCTCCCCAGAACAATTCCCACGCCTTCGACAACAGACTTTCGAGTAGTTCTACTTTCTCCGCTTTGAGATGTTGCTTCATTGTTTTCACAGTACCGCCTACGAACTCCGTTCTATACACCATGCTATCGCCGTCTTTATCAAACAATGCATAAAAAGATCGCATTTTGCGTACCCAAAATTCTGGAAGAGGAGCCACCGACATAGTAAATATTAGCACGAGGCAGTCGGCCGCAGCAAATTTCGTCAGTACCACTATAAACGGTGCTCAAGCATCAAGTCTGCGCCTTGTTACAAAACTAGGTCACGCAGATACAGCTTTTGTGTGTCAGACACTATAAATACCTTAAAATTAGCTTTTTATAGTAACTGATACGTCAGACATCACGGTTTTCTTCATAGAGTATTTTACATTTATTGTTCAGCTGGTTGTATAAGATTTTCAGAATGTATTCGTCTACGTTTAAAACGTCATTTAGCGTTTACGCCATACAGCATGATAAAATTAACTCCCCCTAATAGGAAAAATTCTTTCAAAATTTTATTCCATCTTTTTTTAATAATAGAGAAATTGTTTACTGTGAGTACAATCATATACCACAAACCAAATTCACGTCGTGTTTATTTTTTGACCTGGAAAGAAAGGCTGCTAGAAGCCTACGCTCGAGTTGAATCTACCGATAACTACATGAAGGACTACCATGTCTTACAATGCAGAAATTAATTAAAATATATAAATTGTGACAAACACCCAAAAAGTTCCACTCTACATGTTCACTTGGACGAATAAAGCGTTTTTTTTTTTCTCCAAGTTGTAAGTGACAACTAATTTGTACTAAGTACTTATCAGACCTGAGAATGCTTTGTTTGTGTAGAAAAATTTTGCATTAGACTTTTTGATCATGGTTTCAGATAATTAATTTAATTTTGATTAAAAGTACTCTGGTGACAATGACAATGACTCTAGTTGATTGTTAGATGATATCTGTAATATCCATTAACCGTTGTCCCATCATGCGTTGTTATAAAGAGTAGAAAACATGCGTGATAAAGAGCTACACAAACACAAAATAAATGTACATAATGACATTTCTCCACTACATGTTAGTGGAGTATCCATAGCTAAATGCTCATTCACAAATCTAAATTGCTATTTACAACTTCGTCGAGGGTAGCTTAACAGATAAATATTCATTCTCGTGTCTCTTTAAAGACTCAGTCCTTTCTTAGCGTATATGCGAAAAAGGGGTTTAAGGGAAAGAGACAGGGGAAAATATGCCCTTTCTAAAAAGAAATCATGAGACTGAAAAGACCTCGCTTTTGGAAAAACAGAAACGGACGCAATGTCCATTGATGAAGAAGAAAGTGTCATTTCTTGGACAGTACTATACTGAATACGATGGTCACTTGCGGCTACAGCAATGGAGGAGGCACATTTCCCCAGCCTTTACGGGAACTCCGGGTAAACTGAAGGTCACAGAAAACGGAATAAGCTTCGGCAGCTCGGTTGGTCTTTTCAACCAATTTTTGCATGTTGTATTGCAGCTTGACGATGTCCGTGCATTTTACCTCGGCGATCTCTATCAACATGTCCTCGTCTGTGTCACGAGAAAGACGCACTACAAGAGCCGCATTTTGGTGTTCAAGGGGAAAAACCAGCAAGACTGTTTGGATCTGGTTGACGCGTATAGAAAAGTTACAGCCGATGTCAACAGCGGCTGTGGCAGATCCGGAGGGGATAACGAAGACCTTTGTCGCCGTGGATCAAGTATTTCTGTGACTTTGCAGCCGCCATTACTCACAAAGAAGAAACGCAATGAGCAGGAGTATGTGCTTATTGAGAAAAAAGTTTCGTATCTCGGACAAAAAATATTAGTATATGATGTTGGCAATGGCGAACAATTTAACGCATGGCGGAAATATTTCTCTCCATTCAGTGCTGGCGTGAAGAAAAATATCAAAGTAACTGAACATGGGATAATGTTTGATAAAGCGAATTGTTTAGATCATAACTCTGCCCTGTTACTTGAATGGAAAGTAATCCGCAACCTTTACATTGGGGACTCTTACATAAATATTATCGTCTGTGAGCTCAACGTTTGCAGTTGGAAGACAGCCGTTTTTGTCTTTAGATGCAAAAATCAAAGAGACTGCAACGAATTAATGGATGCATACACATATCTTGTAGGCGAATTTAAGAGATTACGCCTGTATTCAAAGTTTATACCCTAAGCAGTGCAGAACAGCACCACTGCTAATTTAGATTTTCATCTGGCGCGTCATTCATGAGGACATTAAAAGTGCTGTTTATGCCCAGACCCATTAGTAAGACTGAAATGTTTGCGCAGTCTAAATTAAAGACGCGAGAAAAAATTAATGCATTAAACAACTATTTTTCATATTCTTTGGCATTGCAGTTTTCTTGCATTTTTTATCATTAAACTTACACGCAAGCCTCTTTGACGATGCTTCAGATGAGCAGCTTCTCAGGCACGCATTTTATTTTCTTATGCACACTGCACAGGCACGTTTGGCTTGACTATGTACACATATATAACGAGACTATACGCGATGACAGAGCCCGCTGTTAAGGCACGCATACATTTGACTGGAATTTTAATCACTTCGTTGAGGGCTTCATACAGATCATGACGTAAGTTACTACTAAATGTGCTAAATGCAAGGAACAACGTAAATCATTAGATATTCTACCCGCGTTTGTGTTATGCATGTGCGTATATTATTTAAGTGTCAAGTTGATTTGCAACTTCAGTGTATTTCTTGTATAACGCTATCAAGGAAATAATCCCGAGCTTTTATATAGCTCAGAAGCCCAGTGCCTGTTAATTTTACACAGTGGAGAACTTCAAAGTTATTAAGTTTATTAAAATATCTCACCAAAACCCCTCTAAAACCAAGAGATACCACAAGGTCTTAGTCAACTCAGAGGAAGTTTAATCTGATTCAAACTAATACTATTCATGTGAAAGAATTTTCGTAAGGCATCAGCAGGCGCTTAAATACATGAAGTAGTTTGCAAACAGCCAATGAATCAAACCGGATATGTCTTAATACAGTGCATGGTGTATCTTGGCGGTAATGGCATACACTCGTTCCTTCCATAACTTTTCAGTATGGATACCGACACAGAAGCCCATCTGGAGCAGAGTTCCAGGGCAGAAGTTGTGTACTATATACACAGATAGCTGTACACATACAACCGGTGCTGGAAAATAAAGCGATGATATAATAAGTGAAAATGAAGTAAAAGATATATTCGCGAGTTCTACGTTTTTTCTAAATCTCTGGTGACAGAAAGGGATAAATCTGTTTGTTTAAATCATTGGATTTTGTTTTATTCATGCCTTGCTAGTATGGGGTATTTTCAAATTCAGGAACGAATGTTTTAGCCTATTTTAGTAAGTAAAGTTTTAATGACAACAACCCTTTTGCATAATATTCGCACATTAATAATACTAACAAAATAAGACTGCTCCAGATGCACGTTTATTTAAACTGCACATTTTGTCCTCAATCTCAATTACATTTTTTCATAATGCCTAATAACGAAGGTTTTGCAAATTGCTTTCTATGAGAAAGCAGTTTTGATGTGTTTCGTGTAAAACATTTGACTGTACCCTGTCATAATATCGTCATGCTTACATTGTAATGGATGTAACTGAATTGAGGAATTTGTTAATGGCTAAAATATTACAGAAAAAAGACGGAACGAATTTTTTTCAATATCTAAAATCCTTGTGACACTGGGAAAGTTGCCTCAAGCTATCTATTGAGTTATCTAAAATAAATATTTTAGATATTTTCTGAGATGTTAGAAATCATACCCGCTTCCTGAAAAGTTGCAGATTTTCTACTTTGGTACATATAAACTAGATAAGATGGAGAATGTGAGATGGCGCTGCGAGCAACAGTAACGAAGGTTTAAACTTGAGTCCGTTTACGTTTTTTGTGTGAGAACAGATAAATCTAGTAATTTTTATTTTTAATTTAAGTTGCTAGCCTAATGTTTGTAAAGTTCCACCAGGAATAACAATTCTTCTGCCAGCTTACTTTTAATATCTTTTAAAATGTTAAATAGACCTATAAATTGAAAATGAGCGTTTCCTTAATTAACATGCTTCCTGTGATGAATAAAATGATAATTTCCGTCAAATTGTGCGACTATTAACCCAAAAAATCAAGTTGACTAAAATCTACCAAGATACATAAATACTAGTTGAAAATAAAGTTGGTGGCATTATTGTAAAACTAACAGTAGGGATTCGGTGTTCATTACGATTTCACGTCCATTGTTAATAATCAATGACTGATCATGATTATGGAGTTAAACATTACTTATATTATCTTTTTTCTTTTTACATTATTATCATCCGTGCAAAGATAAGAAATATAATTATGCATTTGTATGATGGACGCACATCTGAGGTCGTGTGATCTTTGCCGTTACTTACATGCACTGGGCATTGTCCGCCTGGCAAGGGCTTTCTGTACATGGGGATGCAATGTTGAAACACTGGGGTCTCATTGTGGTCGCTGTAGAACAGAAATAACGGTTTTGAATGCAAATTTTTCTCTTTGTATCATATATATATATATATATATATATATACTGCATACTGTCGGGCTGCAAAGTGAAACAAATGCCTTAAGGTTGTTTTGTTACGACTGCGTGACCTAAAAGAGATAATGTGGTACTTGACGTTTGATATTTAATTTCTACTCACCGGTATTCCCCAATGTGACTCCAAGAACAGAATAAACAGGTGGACACGTGGTGCAAGCCACGCGCCTGTCAAGTGACCCTCCATACACCTGCGACGTGGTAACCAAACACAGAATAAGGGCTAGTATATACATACAATTCATAGCTGTCGTTATTAGTGCCTGTTCTTCGAGAGATTTCTCCGATCGCATTCACCGTGCACAAGCAATTTATGTGCCATTCTTTTCAAGCGCGTCCTTTATTGAATATTGAGAGGTTTGAATTGAACCCAATTTCCTGCTCATTATGTGTTTGAATTTTATCAGGTTAATTTGCAGCCCGGAACTCAGTCGCAACACGTTGGGATCACATGTTTCAAATACCACTTTTTTCACTCTGTAATTTACTGAAGCAGCGACAAGGGAGCCATGCTGTGTTGATTTATTGCCTGCTTGGAAGATCAGAAGTGAAAAGAAACGCCCTGATCTACTCTCAAATGTATAAATCTATTTACTGTTGTTTTTGTATTATTGAAATCCCCTTCTGTACATGTATATCGTATTACTATGAAGTACAACAACATGCGCAAATATCAAATAGCTTATGCCAATAAGGAGAAACAATTCTGATCTGTCGGACGACTCGAAACATGTATGTTTTATAAAAGGCCAAAAAAGGACAGTTTGTTCGGTTGTCACCACTTGAATAGTTTGGATATTGCTATCAAGGATACACAGCAATGAACACCGAATCCCAACTGTCTGATTTTACAATAATGCTCCCCAACTTTACAGTATTTTCATCTTAGCCTTTTCTCAACCATCTAATTATGGTGCAAGTTAGTCTTTCCTCCAAGATGATTCCTAAAACTTGGGTTGGGTCACTCCCGTTTATACCACCATATAACAAATAAATATTAAACAGAGAAAATGTTTTTTCGCCAAAATGCGAGGCGTGTAAGGAAAAGTATGTATTACCCTTTTCCTCCTACGAAAGTCAAGGTAGAATTTATCTTTTTGTGTACAGACTTGGTGAAAAAATTTGTCCCACCCTAAATCCAATTTTTTTTTCACAAACGATCACATCCATCTGTAAACCATTATGAAGTGTTTTTATTCCAAATATCATATCTTGCGAGACTTACGGTACAGAAAATAAAAAAATATCGGTGCAGATATCCGTATTATCCAATTAATTCAAACTAAGAGCATG